AGTTGGCAAAAACGCACGGAGTCAGATTTGCGCCTGAGAAGTATCTGTTGAAGCTTTGTCGTTTAGTGATAGAGATGAGAGTGAAGTTTATGGGTCACGATGTATGAGATAACTGAGGTGTGGATGTATGAGTTCCTTACTATTGTTGTTGTCTTGTCTTGTCTTGTTCATTTACGTGCTAGGTAAAGTAATTCCCGTTGCACTCCTACTGGAGCATAAGCACGGGTGAGGCCAGGCTAGATCAGGTTAACTACCGTAAAGTACAGGTGCCTCGTCCCACCTTCATGACCGGACCACTTGAGACTTCACCCATGTGTTGAATCATGTCCAGCCCAACCGTCCAGAGAACCCTCTTTTGGCGCGCCGAAGCGCAAATTCCTCCTCAGCCTCGGCCACCGCGCGCCCGAGCCGTTGACACCTCCGCGATCTGTAACTTTTCCCTTCGCTTCAGTCCCAGCTTTTGCTCATCTCAGCATCTCCTCATCTCATCCAGGGATCTTTTTCTTCACTGGAGGCCTCATCCAGTCGCCCACCAAGGCCTTCTCAGTTTGTATTCCCTTTTGATTCCTTCATGCAGCATCGCTCTGTCCTTCAGCCGATCTCATCATCCCATAAACTTTGTAGAATGTCCAGCCCTCCGGCCTTGCCCCGTCACTGCCGTACCCCTAACCGTGGAGGTCGAAAACGCGACTGAGAGCTCAAGACCAAGGCACCGGTGCCCCAGCCTTTGTCGAACGCTCTGGTTGGTGTGCCGGCGAAATGTCGTACGTATTTCGTCGGTGGCGATCCGTCGCAGGTCGAGTTGTTGGTGCCCTTGGCCGAGGTGAGGACGCATCTAAGGCCGGTATTTCGACCGTACCTTCACAGCTACTGGCAATTGCGGAGGGTCAGACATCCTCTTGCTTCTTTATTGGCGATTTGGCTTTTGGAGGTATGGGATTGCTTAGGTAGGTGGTGAGATGACTCTTGAGAGGGCCACGAGATGAGTTTGGCTAGGAATGATTTTCCAGAGAAATAGAAAATAATATTTTGAAGGTGTCGGTTGTTGTGATACGAACATCAGACAGGTTATAGGCTGACTGTGGTTCGTATCTGGGGTGTAGATGGTTGATTTCGTTGAGTTGTGCAGTCGTGAAATCTCTGCAAGTCGGATTTTCAACCAAAAATGAGCCAGCTCCACTCCTCCCGATCGCCAATTCGACGAAAATTCCCAAATTCACCCTTTGTCGTGACTAAATCTCGGCTCTGGAAGAATATTTCACTCCCAGGTTCTTAGTGGACACCACTGACAGGTGTTCAGCCTTCGTCCTCCACTATTGTTGTTGTACTAGTTAGGGTTGTATTTTCTAAATACATAAGGGACTTCTCAATCTACAAATGGGCCAGATTGCTTAGGTCTGGCTAGCGGCTTTCGCCGTCCTGTTCCTTCTCCCCCGCATGTCATCACGTGCTATACAACTACTGCTCACCATGAAATCCGAGGATGAAAAGCGTTAGATTACAACTGTATCAACTAATGCATTTCTCACGAGCTAGGAGGAGATATGATCTTAAAGCAACAGTTCAGATCCAAAATCACACTACAGCGCCACAGCCTTCCCTGCGCGGAGGGCAAGACTGAACACCTGTACGCGGTGTCCTCTACGAACCTGGGAGTGAAATATTCTCCCAGAGCCAAGTTCAGTCAAATTTCGCAATATCAAAGAAGTTGGCCCACGAGGCAAAAATCCAAATTACTCATCCACGTCGTTATTTCGCTCCCAACGAGTTTGACTCCTATCTTCGTCTCATCGAGTCTACAAGTACGACCAAGTACATCCTCATTCCAATGACCACACCTCTCTTCGACCTTCTCTGGCCTCCGCTGGTCACCAAATACACGCCCACGCCGATATTTATACCCGACGGAGGAAGCAAAGCGTGGAGCACAAATCTGGGAGATAGCTCTTTGGGATGGACGTGAGAGGGATCAGGACAAGTTCACAAGATGATGCAGAAGAGGGATGTAACTTCGAAGGGCATGAGATTCCGAATTTTGGCAAGAGCTTTACGAATTGAGCTTTGTGCGCGCCAAGACTTCGCTTGCGAGAGTGCAGTTGACACTATAAAAACAAGCCAACGATGGAAGGTGTTGTGGTCCGCCTCCTGGTGGTGTTCTCCGGTATAGTTTGAGTAGCCTGGGCACCTACTCCACTTGGGAAGGAGATATCTCAGACCATATTTCGCGCGGAGAAAAGTTGAAAGATGATGGAGGCATGTCTGGATAACTCAGGGTTTTTGAGATGTTCCCCTGGGTGGGTATTCACGGATGAGGGTTGACTTGGGGTGAAGAAAAAGCCACCATAACTTCGCAGTGGTACTTGCAAATGAAATCTGAGGCATGAGTGCTCTTCCTTAACGATGAATCATCTATTCTGTACTTTTCTTTGATATTGTGTCATAGCTAGATAGCTGCATACGCAATTAAAATCTGATGCAAAAAAAAAAAAAAAAAAAAAAAAAGCCTTCCCTGCGCGTCCTTGGAATCTACTTTGATCCGAAGCTCAACTGGGGGGCGCACATCAAAAGTCTAAAGCTGAAAGCTAAAACATAGATCCAGGCCATAAGTAGGCTGACACAATCCACGTGTGGTGTAACGGTTCCGGTATATAAAGCTTGGGCGTTTGTATGTCGAATGGTAAGTTTATTTATTAACTGAAGAACAAGAGTAATGCTACATCTAACGCCCTACATATACATGATTCCAATATTCCAAACACTAGTAGCTACCCTCCAGTCGTGCCCCCATTATTAAGGTGTGCGCTAGTTTCCAACAGCGTCACAAACACGGGCAGTTCCCGACTTTCAATACGAGCGCAACTTAGCGCTGTGTTATGATATGAGACAACGAGGTAGTCGAGGCTAGGGCATTGCGTGTGGCTCAAGGCCACAGCATACATCACTAGTGTACTCGTTAGGCGAGCATGTATATAGTTTCATAGATGTACCCACAATAAATGGACACAGGTTTAGTCTTATACTTTCTGTCCATATACCTACAGCATAGTATTGTATGAGGCTACTCACTGTCAACCACAAATTATAACATCGTCCACTCCTCATCACTCCGCAATGTGACTTCCGCATAGCTCATAACCACAACACGCTGACACTATGAATATGTCTGTGCTGAATAGCACAGGCTACAGGGATCTCATCGGCTCACTAGCCGTCACACGTGGAACCACATTTCACAAGTCAAAGCTGCTTTATAGCGCTATAGTGAGACCAGCCCTTACGTATGGGTAGCCAGTCTAGGCTGAGGCCGGTCCAGAAGGTAGAATACCCGAAAGGATAGTCAAACCCCTTCGAAGCTCTCAAAGAAATTGTCTGAAAGTAGTAAATGGTGCATACAAATCGACCAGTACCAGGGTGCTGGAACATGAAACTGCTACTCTTCCGATAGAAATCTACTTGAAGCAACAAAGGGCTCAGTATATAGGCTGCTCAAATTCTCTACCAGTACAAAAGACTATCCAATCAGCATGTAGTAAAATAAGGCTTCCCAAAAGAGGAAGAGAAGATATAAGAGCACACAATAGAAGAGCAGACCTTGCATACTGGAAAGAGATTTGCGGAGAGGAGAAATCCAAGGAATTACAAAAAGAAGCGGTAAGAGTTGCAGCGTACCTAGAATGAGCGAAATCTTGGTCTGCCACAGTGCGAACTCGAAAGCCTAAAAGATTTGCTTCAGCAGACCCTAAAACTTAGGCAGCAGCAAAGTCCTACCAATGCCGCCATTCTGGACGTACTAAAATAAGCTTCCGAGAGTCGCCATTTTCTCTCCACAAAAACCTGACGAGGGCCCAATGTAGCTTAGCAATCCAAATTCGAAGCGAGCATATCGGGCTCAATTCTTATTTACACAGAAGAAAAATACCAGGAGTCTACAATCCATGCTGTCCGTGTGGCTACCAATCACAAAATTCCAAGCACGTGATCATGTCCTACCCTAAGTGGTCAATTGGTAGAGGAGAAATCTGGAGACAAGCCCGAAATCGCTCCTTTGAAGCAATGACCAACAATCCAAACGATATGAAAAGAATCACACGATGGGTTCTTAATCATGGTTGGATAGAACAATTTCGCATGAAAAATGCAGTCGAAATGCTGCTCAGGGAACGAGACGGAACATGTACAAGGTTGGGGTCGATAGATGGGACGTGATTGGTACACATCAACGGCGTTACAGTGTGACTGTGCCTCCTGAAGGAATAATTGCAAACTCTAAGAATTAAATCAGATAGCTTGGAGGGTTTTCACCGAAAGGTTTCCTCCTATGTAAATATATAGATAGGTTTATAGTCACCTGCATGGACCCATAGGGCGCCAGATCAGGATAATGAATACAAATTTAAATATACAATCTTATTGCAAATAAACTTATTTCGAGAACAAGTATCTACACGCAGATGAATCATTAGCTGGTATGAAATAATCTCTTAATTCCACTGTCGCATAAATATACAACATTAACAGTGATAGTCAATGAGTTAATCGCGTCCCTACATGGTGATATTTTGCTGGCTCTGCTAAAAGCTATTCGTTTATTATCTTCTTCATCACAAGGCTACTCTAAAGTCTTTCGTCTTTTAGGGCTTGATATGTCCGATATTCGCCTACTAGGAAAAAGTGGGAATGCTTCGTCAAGTAAGCATTCCAGAGTGATACTTTTCTTTTTCCGCCTTGTTGTCGAGTTATACTTTTTACTTGAATTTAGAATGAAATTTTGGGTTACGAGTCCTCTAAGATTTATAAAGTGCCTGATGACTATACCAAGGACTTCATTTTGATTATTTAATATAATTTGGTATCTTTTATTTTCTCCTTTGAAAGATATTAAAAATTTTTCATTGCTGATAGATTTCAAGAACTTACTTTTACCATCTAAAGTTACTTTTTTGCTCAAAAAGATTTTCTTCCATGGACCATCAACCCTTCTAGATGTGTCCTCCACTTCATCAAACCAATCCGGTGATTGGTAGAGTTGATCTCTGGCGTGTTTTTGAATCTCTGTTATCTCCCATGATAATGATCCGCATTCAACTAAAGGTTCTGTAAGGACTTGGCCTATCCCAGAGGTTGTACTTGTCGAAACTTCGGGTACATTTATACATGGCTTAAATTGATCTAGGGTATAGTCATAATAAAGCAGGTCTTTCAGTTCGCAGCTATTATCAAAAGTAATTTTGTCTGCATATCTTCATTTTTTGACTACGAATAGACTTAGTAAATCTGAACTGTTGAGAAGTTCTTGGTCAGTTTGAGGAGGATTTTTCAAATTCACCTCTAGGATCTAAAGTTACAACTGAAGGAAAAGACCATTCAAATATCATATTTTCGACTTTACTGTCGTCAAAATGAAGGACAGGTCGTCTCGCTTGAGAGTTTGCTGCCGTGAACCCTCTACAAGCTATCAGGCGAGTCGTTTCAACTTCACTGTGTGGATATATTTTATATCCACAATGATATCCAGGCTCAGATGTTACTTTTATTCTATTTGTCATTGACGAGGCAGGGGCTGAGAGAAGAAGTATGGTGAACACAGCTTTTAGCCATGTATACTGGTCTCGGACGACATGATGGGGATATCTCATATTCAATGATTTTTGGCAGTACTTTGTAATGATAGAAATGGTAGTTTTCAAAAGATGGAGGGTAGGGCTCATTTCAAATAGAACATAGTCGGTGTCACCCATATGCTAAGCCCTTGCTGCCATTCTTAGACAAAAGATTGCTCTACTCTTAAAAATTTGAAAAGCTCGTGGATTCTGCGCTCACGGATTTCGGAAATTTGCCGTTAGACCTGCTACTTGAAATGCGACTCGAAGGCCAAGCTCTTGGCGGAATTATGTTGTGTCAGTGTTCTCATGGTGTTAAATTGCATACTTATCTTTTGATTCAAGGTTTAACAGTGTTGATATTATGTAGCCTTTAACGACCAAATTATAATTGATCTAGACTTTATCTTGGTTTGTTGCTTGCTTGCTTTGTTGTTTATTATGCTATTTGGGTCAAGAAATATCTAGTACGTTGGGCACATCTATGACCCAGTCGACACCTTGTACAAAGCTCCTATCCTCTTTCGTTACGAAAATAATAACGTTGTGTGGTAATCGTACGGAGCTGAGAAATAGCTTGAGTAAATAATTTGTCATGGCGAGACATTCTTGAACTAGAGTCTAGGAGGGCAAGACTGAAGACCTGTACGCAGTGTCCTCTACGAACCTGGGAATGAAATATTCTCCCAGGGCCAAGCTCAGTCAAATTTCGCAATACCGAACAAGTTGGCCCACGAGGCAATGATTCAAAATACTCCACCATGTCAATCTTTCACCCCCAACGAGTTTGACTCCTACCTAAGCCTCATCAAGTCTACAAGTACGACCTAGTACATCCTCATTCCAATAATCACACCTCTCGCCGACTTTCTCTGGCCTCAGCCGGTCACCAAATACACGCCCACGCCGATATTTATACCCGACGGAGGAAGCAAAGCGTGGCGCACAAATCTAGGGGATAGTTCTTTGGGATGGACGTGAGAGGGATCAGGACTAGTTTACAAGATGATGCAGAAGAGGGATACGTTTTCGACGGGCTTGAAATTTCGAATTTTGGCAAGAGTTTTACGAATTCAGCTTTGTGCGCGCCAAGACTTCGCTTGCGAGAGTGCAGGCGACACTATAAACACCGCCATGGTTGGATGGTGCGGTAGTACATCGTCTTGGCCGGTCTGCCAAGCAGAGACTGGATAGCTTGGACACATATCCCACTTGAGACAGTAGATCGCTGGTTCAAATCCGGCAAAACACAATCAAATTTCTCGTGGCGCTGATATACATGGATGACGAAGGCATGCTTGAATAACCAAAGGTTTTAAATTTCCCTTTGGTGGGTACTTACGGAGGAGGGTCGACTGTTTGTGCAAGCAATGTTATGAATTTGTTAGGTATAATCTGGGTGTGGTGGCGCAGGGGTACTTTCTTAATTTGGTTAGGTCTGAGGCAATAGGATTTGTATTTGTTCAGGCTGGAAATTTGAATTGGTTCTTTAGTTCTAACAATTTTGTTTCTTTTTTGTTTATTGTATAATTTGCTTATTGGGAACTCGATATTTTGATAATATGATAATCTGAACATATGAATTCGTAACTTTGATAATCCGAGCCTCGATTACCTTCATTCATACCTTCGCACATTTGACATTTGCACCTTCGACCTTCGTAACTTTGTAACCTCGAACCTTCGATAATTTGTCTTCGTCGAAATCGACTCAACCTCTGCAGCTTAACAGCTTCGAAAATCTGCCAATAAGTAGATTCATAACAAGCAAGCATACCTCATAGTGGTATTTGCGAATGAAATCCAGAGTATGAGTGTTTATAACGTCAAAAGAGTCATCCTGCATGTATATATAGCACTGGTCATGTGTCATAGCTCCATAGCTGAATACACTTAAATGATTTAAAAAAAAAAAAAAAAAGAAGCATCACAGTTGACCTTTACACTTCCTGTTCACGATTCAATCTTGCTGTAACACTTTGTTACAGTTATAAAACGCCAGAATTTCTGCCATCCTTTTAATTGAAATTAGTTCCCGAGATGGGAAGAATTATACATTAGCCTCGAGTTTGACTTAGAGGTACGATAAATGTGTTTACTATACGAAGAAGTTTACTGATATTTAATTGATAGTTAATTGTGATTAAATTGCTATAATTCTATATTTATGGCGAAAAGTGCCTCTATATACAGTCTCTTATGTGGTGTAATAGTACAATTATCCAAATGACTGGGGCTACATCACTGGACATATTGCCGTAATTGGTATGGTCTTCTTACAGGCCCATGTCTAGTTATGCAAGCAAGGGGTACTATCCAATGATATTCCGTGATAGTCAAAATTAATGGGGATGGTTTTCAACACCAAAGGAAATGTAAAATGGTCCTCATTTAAAATTTAAAATTAAAAAAAATCAATTGATATTATCTACAAATACACACCTATTTCAAAAATAATTGCTCTTTACTACAAATGTATACATCGAAGCTATCAGTGTGGCTCATAAGTAAAATTGAAAGTGTACTACATGTTTTGAATTAGTCTACTCCATCCTAATACTTTGTGTACCCTCAATTTTCCTTTATCACCGCTATACATCTTCTGTGCATATTAACCACACTTAAAGGAGGCTTCTTCCGGGCAATTCATCTGCTGTAACCTATTTTTATGAGTGCATTAGAAATAAAACGTTCACTGCATCCCTAATGGCTGAAGGGCCCCATTGCTAGTTCCAAACTGTCAACGGCTAAGAATAACCACCGAAGAAGTTGGACAGGGAAATTTCTCAGGTCAAAAATAGGGACTGTCCATACATATGTGGGTTATTTGTTTGGGTCAGTGCTTGAATTCTGTATTTAGAACTGCAGGTTATTCTATTTCTAGCGCATGTCTATATTTAGAGATCAAGAGATCAAGTCAATCATGATCAGTGTACATAGTCCTAGAATTCCGGGAGAAATAGAAATCAAGTTGTTTTTACTGAGTTATCTTTTACTTTAATTACATACACTTCGCCTGTCACAGGTCAGGCTCCCAGTTACCTGACACAAACAGCACATCTGTCGATTTTCAGCAGATTCCCGGACAAAAGCCTCAAGCTCATCAACTTGTTCCGCGCTTAATTAAGATGAGCATACCTTGAGAGGTATAGGATTCTAAATCTCCTAAGCACACGCAAGTTGCACTTGCCTTCTTGTGAAGCCAAGTTCGTCGGATATATGTAGTAATGTCAAGCCAAGTCTTCAAGTTTTTATTTCAATACATTGATCCCGAGTTAGATGCTTGTGAGCTTTGGTTTCTGAAGCAGAATTTTGGAGAGACATTGTTTGCAAGAATAGAGGATGAATTGATAGTGATGTTAAGAATCAGAGGCTTTGTTTTTTTTTTTAAGTCCTAAGCTATGCTCTATATCTCCTAGGAGTCAAGGACCGGTGCACACGGCCAAGATCATGCCTCCCACATGCCCAACTAGGTCTCACCGCGTGACTCACTACACAACAAGTAGCTAGTTATAATAAAGAAAATAAATTCCCACACAAACTCCCATAACCAGAATTCCAAATCACATACTCCTAATTGTGGTTGGAAAATGAAACTTCTCGTCTCATTTTCCTGCCTGTCATGCTTCGTGCTATGATCTAGTTACTACCGTCTACGCTGAGAGCTGGAGACGGAGTCGCAGGTGGGCCCCCGAAGCAGCCGGTTTCCTGCGCAAATTTTTTAAAGTGTTCGAGGCACTTAGGCCCAAGGAGTTTGTGGGTAAAGTAGTGATGTGACATTGTCCCTCGTAGTCGACGCGTCTGGCGTGCGTGCAGTCGACAGTGAATGAAGTGGAGAGGTGATGTTTCCTCTCCACACGCACACTCCATTGAAGCGGCGAAGTTGTTGAAGCGGCCATGACATGCCGCGAAGTTTCCGTGTCCCGTACGGGCTGAGATCAGTTCACGGAGTAGCCGCCGGGAAAGTGCCTGCTCGCGTGGCTTGCGTCGTCGCATGAGAAGACCCAGATTTTGATTCTTAGGTGGACATACTTCTTACCACCAGTAGTCGAGAAGCGCTTGACGTTTCCGATTCATGAGCCGACAAACGTACGCCATTGTGACGGAGCCAGGCTGGCTGTCTTTGCTTGGCAGTTGTTGGAGGCTGGAGCGTGCAGCTCTGTCTGCATCTTCGTTTCCCTGTATCTCGGAGTAGGCCGGTATCCACCTCACCGAGACTTGAGCCTTTTTTGATAGCGCCCTAAATTAGCGTACGTCGTCGAAACTTGTTGTGGCAGTTCCCGTCAGCAGTGCCTTCACTGTAGACTGACTATCCGTCAGTACGTTGATCTGCTGCCTGCCGTCTCTTCCCCCGTTCTCCCTCTCCGACAATCCCAGCGCAGCTTCTAGGGCCTTCCTCGCCCCTGGTATTTCCGCATCAAGCACTTCACCACCATGCTTGATGCCATATCATTTCAACAGAGTTTTTCCATCTCTCTTCA